ATATATATATATAGTACAAATAAAATTGCACTACAAACACAACCTTTGCTACCAAATTATTATTTAATTAATACTATCGGGGACCCGTGCGATGCACGGGATTTGTTAAGGAAAGCTAAACAATAAAACACATAAGAGTATATAATTATTTTATATTTCTAACTTTTTAAATAATGATTAATTATTTATATTTTATAATACTTTTAATAAGTTTTTATAATACAAAAATAACAATAATTTATTTCAGCTAAGCTTGTCCATCGAACTGATGAAACCAACCAACAACCCAAATTGCTCAGTTTCTAATATTTCTGGTTGAAATTGGGATCAGTTTTTTTATGGCCATTGGTAAATTTACCAAAATTGAATGACCTAACAACAGATATATTTTAGTATTTTTATATTTTAAATATAATTTTTTAATACAGAAAAGTGGGGAAATTCCCATATTTCTTAGTCTCAAATATTTTATATTATAAATTTATTTTTAATAATGTTAATGTAATTTTTAAAATTTAAAATCAAGTTTTCAATATAATCTTTTAAACCAATTGAGCAAACTGAAAATCAACCCAAACCAATACAGCCCGATTTAGTTGGTTTTCACTAATGGTCAGTAGATTTCAGGTAACCAACTCCCCAACCTAACCATGTCGATTTGGTGGGCCAAATAGCCTATAACCGAAGTAAACCAGTTTGTGATCAACACTCCTAATTTCATCTAAATTAATATTTTAATCTCTAATAAATAATAGTAGTTTAATCTCCAATAATTATTACAAATTTATAGCAAAAATGCGCAATAATTGAAAATATATTGATAATAAAAATAAAACAAATAACTAATAAAAATAAAATAATTACAATAATTACAAAAATACTAAAAATACCAAAAAAATATATTAAGTTAGTCAATAAATATTGTAATCTTGAATAATAGTTTTCTAATAAACATCAATGAATAAAGTACAACAAAAATTCAATAGATACAATAAGCATTATTAAACAAAAGCTAAATAATAGAAAGGGTCATTTACTAAAATACCCCTTATAATTTCATGGATTTACTAAAATCTACCTTATAGTTAAAATTTTACTTAAACACCACTTATAATTTGTAATGGATTTAATCAATCTTCCATTAGATGATCGTGAAAAATGACAATGTTGGCCCTAATGCTCATTTAAATAAATTTAATCAAAAGAAAATAAAAATTAAAATACCATTAAAGTGTTGAGGGTATTTTTAGAAAAAAAAACCATGGGCCTAATGGCAAAACAAACACTCCTTAATGAAAAGTTGATTAAGTAAATAGGTTGTAAAATATATTGGATGTTTTAATAAAATAAAAACTATAAAGTAGGTTTAAGTAAATATGTAAAACTATAAGATGTGTTCTAGTAAATGACCCTAATAGAATCACATAAGAGTATACAATTGTTTTATATTTTCAACYTTTTAAATAATTAATAATTATTCATATTTTATATACATACTTTTAATAATTTTTTTATAATACAAGAATAACAATAATTAATTTCAGTTAAGCTTATTCATCAAACTAATGAAACCGACCAACCCGATCAACTCGACCCGAGTTGGTCAGTTTTCTAATACTTTAGGTTGGCTTTGGTTTAAAAATTTCCCAATTCGACTAACTTGTTGGATCAATTCCACTTTGGCCATTTGTAAACCAACCAAAATTGAACGACCTAACCATGGATATATATTGATATTTTATATTTTAAATATAATTTTTAATATGAAAAAGTGGGAAATTTCCCATATTTCTTAGCCTAAAATGTTTTATATCATAAATCTAATTTTTAAATTTATTTTTTAATAATTGCACTATAATTTTTAAGTTTAAATCTTTGGAACCGACTGACCAAACCAAAAAATTGGCCCAAACTGATACAACTTGAGTGGGTCAGTTTTCAAAAAAGGTCAGTCGATTTCAGTTGACCACCCAACCTGACCAGGTCAATTTGGCTGGCCAAATAGTCTACGATCGAACCAAACCAACTCATGGACACTCATATTTTTAGCTAAATTAATAGTCTCATCTCTCATAAATAACAATAGTTTAATCTCCAATAATTATTAAAAACTTATAGAAAAAATAAATAATTGTTGAAAATAAATATTGATAATGAAAAAAAACAATAATTACAAAAATATAATAAGTAATAAAAATATATTAACTTAGTCATTAAATAGTATAATCTCAAATAATAGTTTAATCTCTAATAAATATTAAAAAATAATTTATAACAAAATACAATAAATAGAATAAATTAAATTTAAAAATTTCACTAATAATAGTTTAATCTCCAATAATTATTGAAAGTTTTCTATTAAATAACATAATCATTGAAAATATATTTATCACAAAAAATAATAAATAATTACTGAAATACAACAAATATTAATTTTAGTATATATAATAATATAATAAATATAGATTAAGTGTTTAAAATTATTATTAATAAATATTATTTTTTTTGAAAGTTATTTTCTTGAATTATCACTTGATATAACTGAAGTTAGTTATTTACAATATTATGTAAAAATATGAAATTATTATTAATTTCAATATTATGTTGTAATTATTTTCCGACTTTTCAATTTTTTTAATTTATTACATAATTTCTTTGTTTTAACTATTTAAAATTTCGTTATGTTAAATATTTTGTTATTCAAAATACCTAGTTATTTAAATACTTAAATAAAATGTAAAATATTTAAATTTAAAAATATTAGTTATTTATGGAGTTTAAATATCCATAAAATCATAATTTGTACTATTATTACATAATTTAATTATTAATTTTGTTATATATTAAATTATTATTAATTTCAATATTATGTTATAATTATTTTTCTGCTTTAAGTTTTTAAATTTATTACATAATTTCTTTATTTTAACTATTTAAAATCTAGTTATGATAAATATCTAGTTATTTAAATATTTAAATAATCTATAAAATATTTAACTTTTTTGTTATTTGAATTTTATTTATTTGAAGCTATTGCATATTACTGAATGTTTGAAAAAAATAAATAAATTGATTATCCGGAAAAACATAATTTAAATTGTTAGTACATAATTTTGTGATGTATTTTGTAAAAGTATAAAATTATTTATTAGATAATTTCGATTTTTTAACTATTTAAAATATAGTTATGGTAAATATTTAGTTATTTAAATATTTAAATAGTCCATAAAATATTTAATTTCTTTTGTTATTTAAATTTTATTTATTTAATGCTATTACATATTATTAAATATTTAAAAATCAATTAAATTGATAATCTGGAAAAACATAATTTAAATTGTTAGTACATAATTTCGTGATATATTTTATAAAAATATAAAATTATTTTTTTTTGTTTTTAATAAATATTTTTAAGTTATTATATAATTTTGTTAGAATATTTAAATAATTCTTAATTTTTTTAATCAAAACTTTCTTTAGATAGGTATAGATAAAAAGTAGGGGAGAGGATAAATAGAAATTAGAGATAATTTAGGAGAGAAGCTCTCTATTAAATTAGAGATAATTGTTGAGATAAATAGGAATTAAATATAATTTAGGGGAGAAGCTCTCTAATAAATTAGAGATAATTGTTGAGATAAATCAGAATTAGAGATAACTTAGAAGATAAATTGGAATTAGAGATAATTCTGAGAAAGTAGGGGAGGAAGTTTAGGATAAATTTTAGGAGAAGAGATTATTTAGGTTATTAGAAAAATGCATCTCATTAGTTGTTTCAAAAATGATATGAAATAAAAAACAAAAAATTCAAAAAAAGGAGAAAAGTTCTTGACTGCTTTATTTTAATATATATATATATATATATTAAAAACATTAAACAATACATTATTATAAAATTGATATTAATGAATGAATTTTACTATGATACCAAAAATACTAGGAAAAACAAGTAATTCCCAAAACCAAGAAAGCACACAGATGAGTGCATTCATCTATAATATATTTTAGCCTCCATGGGGTTCCTCCGATAGTCAATGCTCATTTGGTATCATACCTTTTCAACATTAGAGATTTTTCCTTTTATTCAACTATAATGTCTTACCCATTTATAAAAAAAGAAGAAATGAATCCATCCTCCAACACCCTGATTTTATATTTCCAATCCTATCCCTTCTTAAAATGCTTGAAGAGAATGGGACAAGTAGAGTTTAGGGGTTTTCAATCCTATCCCTCCCTAATTTCATATTTCCAATCCAAGCCCCTATTAAAATGCTTGAAGAGAATGGATTCGTCCAACACCTTGATTTTATATTTCCAATCCAACCCTCCCTGATTTCATATTTCCCATCCTATCCCCTCTTATAATGCCTAAAGAGAATGAGAGTATGGGACAAGTAGAGTTTGGGGGTTTCCAATCCTATCCCCTCTTAATATTTATCAATAAATCATTATCAATAATTTCTAAAAAGTTTAGGCTGCATTTGGCACATCTTTCCGCACAATCTTTCAACTGTTTACAAGTCGGGAAAACCGATTTTTGGTCTATTTCCATTTGACACGCGAAAGATCTAACCGCCAAAAGACAAAATGCCGAAAAGATGTGAAAAACCCATTTTGGGCTGATTTTGGGAAGCTCAAGTGAAGCTTCTCACTCGCGTTTTATTCTTGCGTAGAAAGACGCACAAAAAGACGTGTGCCTGCCAAACGTGCTTCGAACTACTCAGATCTTCAGGCAAAAGCTCAATGCGTCTTTTGACCGTAAGAACTATTAGAAGATCATCCCAAAAAGATGTGCCAAACAGGCCCTTAGTAATTGATTGTTGGTAAAAGATATTGAAATAATTACATTTTTAAAAATTATAATTATGATTCAGATACTTATAAATTATTGATTAATTTCATTCGAAAATGAAAGATAGTTTGGTAGAGTTTTTGGACATTGGGTTTTCCCGTGCAACGCACGGGTCCCCCAACTAGTTTTCGAAAAGAATTATAATCAGTTGATAGTAACCAACCAAGTGGACTTTCGTCAAAATTCTGGAAACAAACCAATTGAAAGTAATACAAGAAGTCTATATAGAGAAGACAAAAGTCTATATAGCTAGCAATATACTCAACAACAATACAAATTATCAGTATTTCACAAAGTAACGAACCCAAGTCGTGATCGTAGTTCAAACTTCAAAGTTCACAAACGGATTAAGTTTACTTGTCGGCCTTGGATGCCTTGATGTCTTCCCCAGAAGAAGATCCTTCTTCCACAATGTCGATCACCTTTCTCTGCCTCCTCTTCTCTTCTGCGAGCTTCGGGACCATGATCCTCAACACCCCATTCTCCAAATGGGCTTTCACCGCATCCATGTCCGCGTTCCCCGGCAGCCTGAACTGCCTCCAGAACTTCCCGGTGGTCCGCTCCGCCCGGTGCCAGTTCTCACCCTCGACCTCCTCCTCGCTCTTCCTCTCAAAGCTGATCCTAATCAGCCTGTTCTCCTCCACCTCGATCTTGATATCTTCCTTCTTTATCCCAGGAACGTCGAGGAAGATGACATGAGCCTGAGGGGTCTCCTTCCAGTCCGCACGGGCCAGAGCCAAGGTTTCTACGCCTTTGAGGATGGTGAGCGGGGTCTGTTCGAGGATTCTGATCAATGGGTCGTCACTAGGCAGCATCATGTCCCACAAGCAACCGGTGCAGGGCATCTGTCGATTCAGTCCTTTCGCCGGAATGGCCAGAAGCCCTACAGCCATCACCAAATACAAGACTAAAGCAACTTTCCTCATTCTGGATGGATGACCAGCGAGAATTGGAGCGTTGGTTTTAGTTTTACAGGGAACTGAGTTGAGAGATTGACGTGAGAGTTAGGTTTCTGGGGTTGCGATTTCTGTGACCGACTCTGTGAGGATTACAGGGTGGGAGAGTTTGAGGTTTTATAGGTTGAGGAGGGTTTTAGAAGAGGCGGTTTTGGAGTGGTTCTGGACTCTTCGTTTACTTTCGAGCTAGTGCTCATGAAACCGAAAGCTTTTGTTGTGAGTTTTCTACACCGTTCGATAGATGACGGTGGCGTGTTTCAAGTTGAACAGAGCCGTTGGATTGTTGATTAACGCGTTCTATGATGTGTCCTATCAGATCTAAACCGTCCGTCATCGGTTTATGACGTGGGGCATTATTATTGGATATAGAGCCTCTAACAGTCATCACCCTATTGGTAATGAATGGCTAATGGGGAACTCTGTCTTCCGCATATTTTAAGACTTTTTAGGGTCCGTTTGGTTTACAATAAGAATCAGATTTTGAATTGAAAATGGTCCAATTAGAATTTAGAGAGCAATTAGAATGGGAATTAAAATCAATTGAAATAGAATTTCATTCTCAAGGAAGGCGGAGAGAATGACCACTCACTTAATCGAGGCTGAGCTATGCCGTCGAGGGATTGGGGCCCCTTTCTTTAGCAGGAAGAAAATAGAGGTGAATGCCTTAGCTCTCCGGACTTGTTCTTCACCCCATCAAAGTTTGGTAGGACGAGGCTAAACTTATGCCGCTAAGGGCTCGGGGTCCTTTTCCTTAGCAGGAAGGAAAGGAGGGCGAACGCCTTAACTTTTTCAGTGTGTTCTCCATCCCTGTCAAGGTAGCTAAGTCGAGGTTGTGTTGTGCCATCGAGGGGTCGGAGCAAGGGGCAAGCCTTAGCTAGTCTCGCTTAGCTTTCCTTAGTGTTTTTGGGGTGTGAGCCTGTGGGTGGCTGAGGCCGTGGGGACGTGCCTAGCTGAGGTCACAGGGCGCTTCCTGTTTTAGCGAAATACTTAGCCGAGTTTAGTGTTTTTGTTCAAGGTGAGTCGAAGTCTTTGGCCGATGACTTAGCCGAGGTCCCTGCAGTTCCTTGCCTTAGTGAGAAGGTCAAGTAAGCATATGGCTCACTAGGAACGATGTGCCTTGGTTGTCGTCCAGTCCGAGCGTATAACCTTGGAGAAGGTTGTGTATTTCATCTAGTTGCACGGCCGAGGGGTCCTAGCAATTGTGCACAATAATTATTAATATAATGGAATTTTATATTTTTAAAGTAAACCTAGAAATGAAATTATATTTTCCATCTAGGTCGTGAGTAAGTATTTCAACTATTTGGGAAAAATGGATAATTTCATGATGCCATAAATAAATAATACAAATTTAGAAATATAAGAAATACAAAAAAAAATATAGAAAAAAAGAAATTTTGAAAAAAATTGGACACATTTCTATTATTATATATTTGTCATATTAAAAATAACTATGATAAAATAGACATAATTTTATTAATGACGGACATCAAATATACAACTTAAAACCGATGGGAAATTAAACCATCTTCCTATCTACGGGGTGGGTTAGTGGTTCAACCTTTTAGGTCAAATAGGTTGACCCATGATATATAATTAAAAATAAATTTTGTAAACTAGAATTGTACAAAAAAAATATGAATAATTTTGGCACATCTATAATATTATATACTAATAATATAAACAAAAATAAGTATAATAAATAATAATTATTTTATCAATGATACAAATGAAATGCAAAATTTAAAATTAGTTTGAAAATGAAACTATTTCCATATCTAGATTGTAGGTAGGTCAAAGATTTAATATTCCGGGTCAAAATTTTCAATCTATGATGTCATGACTAAGTAATGAATATTAAATACATATATACATACATAAACTCAAAGAAAAATATAAGCTTTGTAAGAAGCATTTTGATACAATTCTATTATTATATATTTACCAGATTAAACGGGCATAAATGTGAAAATAATAATTACTTTTATTGATGATGAAAATGGAATACATGATTTAAAATCAACCAAAAAAGCAAAATGGTTTTCCATTCAAGTAATGGGTTAGTGCTTAATCTATCCATGTCAAATGGATGTTATTATTAAATAATAAAATACATAAAATTGTAGAAAATGTAGAAATTTATAGATAATTTTGGGTACATTCTATAATATTATATATGGATCATATAAAAAGTGTGATTAATGGGAATTATTTTCATTAATGATAGAATTAGGAAAAAAATTAGGGTAAAAAATAAAGAGCACTAATGTCTAACACATGACCTGACTAACATGTCAAATGGTTCAATAATTTAATTAGCTAGGTCATCATAGGCAAGTAGTTTGGTAGGGATGCAAACAGATCAGATTGGATTTGAATTAGGGTATACTAAAAAATGATATGATCCAAAGATTCTACCTCATAAATGTTGATTTGATTTGAATCCGATCAAGATGTCAGATATTCAAATCTGATACAATTTGATTTAATTTTTTAAAAAGTAAAAAATTATTAAAAGAAAAAGAAAAATATAACAGTTGAAATAAAAAACAAAAGAATAAGTATTTTTTTCAACTATTTCCATTATATAAAAAGTTTACAAAATGCAATATAAACGATATATTTATAAATAAATAATAAATAACATAAATATTATATATAAAAAATATATACTATATATATAAATAATTTATTTGACCACAATATTAAAAACCAATGTTCAAACAATATATTGGAATTGCATTTCCTCTTGATAAATAAGTAATTTTTATTATCTCATAAATTAAATAATAAAAAATAAAAATATAGAATTTTTTATAAATTTTATAATAAAAATTTTACATTAATATTATATATTGTGCATATTAAACAAAAATATGTTTGAAAAAAATGAGAATTATTGTTAGTAAAGATAAAAATGGCTAAAATACAAAGAAAAAAAATGAATTCATGTCTTAATAATAGTCCATTTTCCTGGTTAAATGGGTTAATGGTTCAACCAGTAAGGTCCTTTGGTTACAGATTATTATTATCATCATCATTTAGTACTACCACATGCAAAAATAAATACGGAAATAAGAATTACTTTTATTGATGATGAAAATGTACTACATGATTTAAAATCAACCAAAAAAGAAAAAATGGTTTTTCCATCCAAGTGGTGGGCTAGTGGTTCAACTATCCATGTCAAATGGATCAACACATGATGTTATTATTAAATAATAAAAWACATAAAATTATAGAAAATGTAAAAATTTATAGATAATTTTGAGTAAATTCTATAATATTATATATTCATCATATAAAAAAGTGTGAATAATGAGAATTATTTTCATTAATTATAGAAATGGGATAAAAATTAGTATAAAAGATGAAGAGTATTAATATCTTAACATATGACCCCACTAACCATGTCAAATGGTTCAATGGTTTAATTAGCTAACTCATTGTAGGCAAGTAGTTTGGTAGGGATGCAAATAGATTGAATCGGATTTGAATCGGCGTATATTTGAATTCGATTCAATTTGAAGATATGATTGGATCTCATAAATATTGATTCAAATTTGAACCCGATCAATATGTTGGATATCCAAATTTGATATGACCCAATTTAATTTATTAAAAGAAAAAGAACACATAATAATTAAAACGAAGAAAAATAAAAAATATAAGTATTTTTCAACTTTTTTCATCATATAAGAAGTTTACAAAAATGAAATATAAATAACATATATATTATATATATGATATATATAATTGATTTGACCAGAATACTAAAAACCAGTATTCAAACAATATACTGAAATTGCATTTCCTCTTGGTAAATAAGTATTTTTTATTATCTTATAAATTAAATAATGAGAAATAAAAATATAGAATTTTTTATAAATTTTATAGAAATTTTAGAACAAGCATTAATATTATATATTCTTCATACTAAACAAAAATATGTTTGAAAATAAGAATTATTGTTAGTAAAGATAGAAGTGGCTAAAATACAAAGAAAAAAATGAATTAATGTCTTAATCATAGTCCACTTTCCTAGTTAAATAGGTTAATGGTTCAACTAGTAAGTTCATTTAGCTGTTGACTATTATCATCATCATCATTTGATATTGCCACGTGCAACACACATACACTTTTACTAGTAAACTTTCAAAGGCATGAAAAACTGCTTCTACACGTAAAATTGTAGAATTAGTACATCCTCCTTTAAAAGCAATAAAAATAGAGAAAGAAGAGATAATAGCCAATCCAATAAAAGATACTTCTATAATAAAAGAAGCTGAGAAGGTAATACCAAAACATTGTTCCCAAATAATGGAACAAAACAACTATACCAACATTTGCCTGAATGTTTATACCAACATTTGCTTGAATGTTTTTGGCAAACAAACAAATCAAATCGAAACCCTATTAAGTTCCCTAGAAGTTTCTAATAAGAAAACAACAATAATTAAAAAAGAAAAACCACTGGGATGGTAAAAGACTTTCCTCGAGACATTAGAACCAAGCGAAATGCGCTAGACTTGTCCAAAATGGGCTACAAGGATGTAGCAACAAAAATGATTTCATTCCACAATTCCAACTAGGAAAAAGGAGAATTTTCAAAAAACTTCTAAAAAACTGAAAGAAGAAGAAAAATCTAACAATCACTCTATAGATTTATTAAGCGAAGAATCAGAGATAGAAACAAAATAATATACACCATCAATGGAGCAAAATAAGCTCTCATATAAAACCAAAAAGGCTTATTACCCCAAGCATACACTAGTAGACTTACTTTTTGAGGAACCTGCAAGACCTCAGGTAATTTATGATGAAAATACATTTTATGAATGGAAAATGACTAAAATACCCATATAATTACTATTGATGTTGGTTTCTATGGAAAAAATACAATACAAACCTTATGAACAACAAAAACAAAGAAAATTTAAAAATGTAGCTTTACCTTTGAGTGATTAATATGAAGGGCAAATTTGAAAAATAAATCAATTTACAGAAAAGTGATTGGAAGGATTTGGAGTAGTGATTCATATGAAAAGAAAATTTAGAAAACAAACATTTTTTGCTAAAGTTGTGTTTGATTTCAAAGAAAAGTAGGGAAAGTAGGAAAAACTATATGTTCAAGGGAGGTGATTG